ACGATCAATCAGTGATTAAGATGTCGTGGGATCGCAGGCGTGGGTAGACGGACGAACCAAAATAAATGTCGCATAAAAAATGTCCACACTTTGTTCTTTTTAGTTGGAGGAGAAACCATAGATTTTGTCATATCAACTTGAAATTATGATTTGCATGCCTCCATACATTCCTTTTAATGAGGGATTTATTCCTTAATTATCATAGTTTACCTTCAATAAATAGGGATACATGCGTAATTTTCTTTGAAATTTGTCCTAAAATATAAGGAATTTGGGAAAAAAAGATATTGTTTACTAAATACAAATATGTTATTCAGTACTTGGATTTAGTAAATTAAATGAGGGGTACATTTAGTAAATTAAATGAGGGGTACATGCATTTTTGTACGTGGAAACTGAGAAGTCCACCCTTATTTTAATAGATTAGTAAATTATAAATGAGGGGTGCATGCATTTATTGCACTCTCCCTTATTTTGTCTGATAATGACTATATGTTTCAGGATTGAGGGAGTAGGTATAAATAAATAAATAAACAGTACACATGTATAATTTATGCTAGCTAAAATTCTTTATCCGAGTTGTTATTGTAAATCAAGCGAGGATAATGGATTGGTTGTTATTGTAAATCATAAATCAAGTGGGGATAATGGATTGGTCGCTATTGTATAAATAAATAAATAGCACACGTGTATAATTTATGCTAGCTAAAATTCTTTTGTATACATAGCCATTTGCAATAGTACACGTGTTGGTATAATAATGTATATAGGCCCACTACCATCGGTATAGGTCGAGGCTGGCGAACATGAGGCACACCCGAGCTAGGGTATGTCATCAGATGTGGTGGTTAAATAACCTAGCGCGAGGAGATTAGACACTGACTTCTGTGGGATACGATAGTCATTCTCTTGTTATTTCCTTGTAACAAACTAGGAACCGATGGCCGTCGATGTAACCCTACTCCCGGTGTATATAAAGCGGGGTAGGGAGCTCCCGGTCGGTACCTTCACAATACTCAGCAACCCCTTATAAACTCAAGCATGGGAGATAAAGATATCTACTCTAAACTAGACATAGGGTACCACGTACCTAAACTAGCATAAATCTATGTCCCGTGTGCTACCCTTATGATTCTCTATGCGCGATACGCTTTGCCGGGGTCGAAAACTAATATCAGCTATACATAATTCATACTATTTACCCACAGTTGTAGCTCTAGGGTCACGGTTGCACACATTGAATCTAAAGTCAGTAAATAGTTGTATAGGTAATCTCTCACCATCATGTCTGCAAATTGGTGCGCCAAGGGAACATGGAGGACACCGACATGGCCCAAGATGACCTTTTCACAAGCGAAGTGGATGTCAATCTCGATATGCTTCATTCATCGATGATGAAGGGGGTTGGCCGTCATGTAGATAGCACTCATGTTGTCCCATGTAGACAATCCTTGTGATGGGATCGAGAGGTGGATCTCTAGAAGGACTTGCCGCAGCCAGCAGCACTCAGCAACACACGTGGTCGATCACACGATACTTCGCTTCTGCGCTTGAGTGGGAGACTCTGGTCTGGCACTTAGAATAGACCAGCACACTAGGTTGTTGCCGAGGAAGATGCAAAAGTTAAAAGTGGAATGCCGCGACTCCTAGCAGTCAGTCCAGTCGGCGTTGGAGTATGCAGTTAGGGAGATAACTAGTCTAACACTAATGTGAAGGCTCATAGAGAGGATGCCCTTCACAAATCGGAGGATCTGCTTGATCGACGCGAGATGAAGCTCGTGAAGATCATGCATGAACTAACGGACCAGCTGAACTGCATACGACAAGTTTAGTCGCATCAGAATGAGGTGTTGGAGCGCACCAGTGAGGCTCTGGTACTCCGAGAGGTCACCATGGTGGCAACTTTTGAGGCCAACTGCACGTCCACTGGCATCACAGTCGAGTGGCACTGGTCCATATCCTGGGACACTGAAGAAGGTCAACAACGTACTAGCTCTATGACAGGAAGAGGCCGTCGTTGGAGCACATCACTGAGATGCCGAGGAAGTGGTGCATATCCCCAATGTTGGTCATGGAGAACTAGTGATATGCATGAGCAGTGCCAAGGATGACACCGTGAGGATGATGTCATTGACGTAGTAGAGCAGTAGGTAGGTGATATGGTATCCATCTATGCAAACAAAGAGAGACGCATCCGACTTGGAAGCAATGAAACTGATGATGTAGATGTCCTCGGCGAAGCACTAGTTCCAAGATTGAGATACCATACATAGATTTCTGCAGGAGATAGACATAGTTAGGGGCGGTAGGGTCGACGAAGGTTGATGGTCTTGGCAGTATACGGTCTCCTCCAGATGGATGTGAATAAAGGCATTCTTTTCATCTTGCTGATGAATCGGTTGGCCAACTGGAGTATTCTTTCTCTACAAAAATGGTGGAATTCACTTAGTGTTTCTAAGTAGTAGTAAAACACTACCACTAGTCATAGCACATGGGAATCCTCACTAGGAGGTATTTGGTAGGAAAAGTTTATACTAAAATTTAAATACTAAAACCCTAGGAGAATCCCACCTCTTTAGGAGAAGTAGAAAATTCTGGTTGTGTTTATACACCAAAGAATAGGGGCGGGAGCTAGGAATTTTGAATTTGAAAATTCAGAATGGGTGTTTGCTTAGCAAATGGCTTTTTATGTTACTGGGTGAGAATAGACTATGTCAAGATTTACCTAAGAGAAAATATTTACACAGTAAAGCCATTACTCAGGTTAGTATGAAACCAGGAGACTCACAATTCTGGTCAGGTCCGATGCATATGAAAGACCAATTCTTGTTTTTTAACAGCAAGTTAGATTTTGGGTGGATCTCTCGAGTGTTAATAAATCTTTGATGTTGCCTTGTCCTACTTTATATAGAATATAGAATTGTTGGACATAAAGTTGTGGATGATGTACTTGATTTGGTTCCTCTCAACGTTTCTTTACATAGAGCTTTAGTAGGGGATATATAAGTTAGCAGCATGGTTTGATCTAGTTTCAAAAGTGCCACTGCTACTATAAATCCATGTAGCAGAACCAGATGGACAATGACATCTGCGGTAACACACGGATCATATTTCATATCCTTCCTGGAAGTCTCACTGTTGTGAAAGCAACACAACTTATGGCCTATTTAGTATGGCTCTCGCACCGGCTTCTCCATGGAGATGCGAGTTGTAACACCACCATAACGTACTGTGTGCCCAAGATGAATAAATCAATTTGCAAACAAATGCACCATAAGAACAAACCGGCGGTGAAACTAGCAATCACAGCCGGCTCGGCGGATGAAGCGCGGTGGTCGGAACCATTGTGGTTTCCTCCGTCGGATCATCAGACGAGCCGACGGTGGTAGAGATTTCCACCGCCGGCTCTAACGGGTGGTGCATCCTTCCATCTTCAAACCGGCGGCGAAACTTCTTATCTCCGCGCTGTTTGGATGTGTGTCGCGCATTGCATGAGTAACCAGCGGTGCTAAATGGTTACACCGCCGGTTTGGCGCACGATGCGGTGGCGAAGACTGGCATTGTGTTTACTGCCGGATCATACACCGGGCCGGCGGTGAAAGTGTTTATCACCGTCGGTAGGTCACCCAGAAGGGACCCCTAAGGTCATAAACCGGTGGTGATTAAACTTTCTGTAGCAGTGACACTTGCTCCAGGTGCAGAGCTGCACTAAACGCCCTCGAGTGGAGAAGCGCTTCTTGACCAGCAAAACACGGAGCCAGAGCCGTTTTCGTGTATGGATACAGAGATGAGAAAACTGACTCCGCCCAAGGGTTCCGGCTCTGGCTGTTAAGCGCGCGTGGAGGAGCGTTGCCAAACGCGTTAGTTGAGCTAATTGTCAACGAAATCGCGTTCTGCTCACTAAAATTATTTTCTTATGTATCATGAAAAAAAGGAAACGTCGTATTCGTGTATCATTAATTACCACAGTCCCGTCGTCAGCTGCAGTCTGTATACTGGACCACGAACAATTAGTTTTTCTTTTTTCAAAAAAGAATTATCGCATTATTTTTTAGGTGCTGTCCCACTAATTTTAGTATGCACTTGGTGCGTAGGGTCCCACCATTTAGTACGCACTTATAGCTCCCGGCGCCTCTTCAATTGGTTCCTTTCGGTTCCTCTGTCTTTTTAGCCGTCGGATCGCTACTCGTGAGTCGTCTATTTTCCGACAACCATTATAAAAATTCTCTTGTTATTTATATTAATTGGAATATGAACGTGTTGGTATAATGTTGGTATTTGGCAACGCCAACTGTTGGTAACCTGGGCATGCGTAACGTGAACATGAACGTGGTGGCATTTTATTTATTTTGTTTATTTTTGGATCCAACGGTGAGCACGCATCCAGAAATTAATGAGTCGAGATTTCCAGCGACGAGTTTTTTATTCTCGAATCTAAAAATTACACATTATACTTACCGAAATTACAATAAACTAAAATTATAATTTTAATATAAAATATATACAATAGCCGTCGCCAAGTACCTTGGTTTTCTCTCTTTTAAATACGAAGGTGAATTTTCTTATGAGATTTGAAGGATGAGTTTAGTCTTCGGTCTAGTACTAGAAGGCTAAACAAATTAGTGGGACAGCACCTAAACAAAAAAATTAGTGGGACAGCACCTAATAAAATTAGTGGGACAGCACCTAAAAAATTAGTGGTGGGACAGCACCTAAACAAAAAATTCCCACCACGAACAAAAAATTCAGACTTCTAGAGCGAAGACCCGGCTGGAGGCCGGTCCTCCACAGGGATTCTCCCCGAGCAAGGAAATTACAAGCTTCGCAGCAATCACCTGCCAGCAAAGCATAATAACGACCTCATACCAGTCAAAGGTAGCTCAGCATACAAATCGGCCTCCCTATCGCCACCGGCTGCCAACAGCGCGCCGCGGCCGTGCGCAGCACCAGTCAACACAGCCAAACGCCAACGCCACCAAGCCGGCGGAGACGTACCTACAATGGCACCACCGCGCCGGGTGTACCCGCGCGACCGCGCCTACTTCTTCCTGCAGCTCGCGCTGCTTCCCTTCTGCCCTGTGCGCCGACGAGCGGCTGCGCAGTCCCAGCCGGCGGACGAGGCGCAGCTGCCGCTCCAGATCAAGAGCGCGTGGGGCAACCCGCCAGTGCTCGCGCGATGGAAGAACGCCTCATCCCCGGGAGCGCCATGCACCTGGACATTTGGGTGCAACACGGCCGGGCGCGTCACCAACCTCACGCTCGGTAGCGCCGGCGTGGCGGGCCCCTTCCCGGACGCCGTCGGCGGCTTCTCGGCCCTGACCTACCTCGACGTCTCCAACAACAGCATCTCGGGCGCATTCCCGACCGCGCTCTACCGTTGCGCTTCGCTCCGGTACCTCGACCTGTCCGAGAACAACTTCACTAGTGAGCTGCCTGCGGACATCGGCCGCCTAGGGGAGAACCTGACAACGCTGCTCCTATGCGGGAACGGATTCAACGGCACCATCCCGGCGAGTCTCGGCGCGCTGACAAGGCTTCGGACCCTGTGCCTGGCCGAGAACCCGTTCCTTGCGGGCGAGCTGCCGGTGTCGTTGAAGAACCTCACCAACCTTGTCAGACTCTGGGCATCGCAGTGCAACCTCGTCGGCGACTTCCCGAGCTCTGTGCTTTAGATGAAGCAGCTGGAGGTACTGAGCCTATCCAATAACATGTTGAACGGAAGCATACCTGCGGGTGTTTGGAGGCTCAGCAAGCTGCAAGAGTTGTATCTGTACAGCAACAACTTCAGCGGTGATGTGGTGTTTAATGACTTCGCCGCGATGAGCTTAATGTATATCGACCTTTCGGAAAATTATAAGCTTACTGGAGCCATCACGGAAGTCTTCGGGACCTTGAAGAACCTCACAGTGCTGTTCCTCTCCAGCAACAACTTCTCTGGTGAGATACCAGTGAGCATCGGCCAGTTGCCGTCACTGTTACTATTGATGCTTGACAATAACAGGTTTACTGGCACGCTCCCGCCGGACCTTGGAAAGAATTCGGTCTTGCGCATTGTTGACGCTGATTACAACGAGCTCACTGGTACCATCCCAGAAGGTCTGTGCTCCAGAGGCCAGTTCAAGTACCTCACTGCCAAGGGCAACCAGTTGAACGGCTCTATCCCGGCAGGCCTAGCAAACTGCACAACTCTAAAAACCCTGGCTCTAGATGATAACAATCTCTCCGGAGATGTGCCAGAAGGTCTGTGCGCCAGAGGCCAGTTGCGTTACCTCACTGCCAATGGCAACCAGTTGAACGGCTCTATCCCGGCAGGCCTCGCAAACTGTCCAACTCTGCAAGTCCTGTATCTAGATAATAACAATCTCTCTGGAGATGTGCCAGAAGCTCTGTGGACTGCACCGCAGCTCCTTGTCTTGTCACTGCAGAATAACCAGCTCACCGGGAGTCTTCCAGCCACGTTCTCTAGCAACCTTAGGAGATTGCTCATAGGCAACAACCAATTCAGTGGCAGCTTATGCTCGTGAGTCATGGCGCTTAGATCAGTTGCGCTCAACAATTTTACGGCAGAGAACAACCAATTCTCTAGCCCAATACTGGACAGTATTGGTCAGAGGAATCATATTCATGGATGTTTCTTTAACTTGACAAGGGTGTTATCTAGGTCCCTCTATTCTCCGAATGCTACTTCTAAGCCCATAAACTTGGCTTTTGGGGTTTCATGTAGGTCCGAATGGAGCCAAACCCACTCCTGTTTGCCGACGTGGTACGCTAACCGTGCATTGACGTGAATTCGACACGTGGGACACACATGGCATGTCCACCGATCCTCTCTATTCCACGTGGGAGTCTTCCAGCCACGTTCTCTAGCAGCCTTGCGACATTGAGCATACGCAACAACCAATTCAGTGGCAGCTTATGTTCCTGACGCTAGAGCAGTTGCGCTCAAGAAATTCATGCCCAAAAACAACCGGTTCTCCTTCCCAATACAGGTCAGAATTGGTGACTCACTACGGGAAACAGAGACTTTGCCGAGTGCAAAATTCTTTGCCGAGTGTTAAAAATCGGACACTCGGCAAAGACCTTCTTTGCCGAGTGCTGCACTCGGCAAAGAATTGCACTCGGCAAACACGGACACTCGGCAAAGGACTTCTTTGCCGAGCGCCAGACTCTCGGCAAAATCTCTACACTCGGCATAGGCTGCCTGCGAAACGGCGTTCGGTCACGGCCTTCTTTGCCGAGCGCCTGCTGTTAGGCACTCGGCAAAGATTTGTTTTTTTTAAAAAAAAAATTCTTTGCCGAGTGCCCCCAGATCAGGCACTCGGCAAAGATTTAAATTTTTTTTTTAAATTCTTTGTCGGGCGTCTCAGATCTGGCGCTCGGCAAAGATTTTTTTTTAAAAAAAAAATACTTTGCCGAGTGCCCCTGTCACGGCACTCGGCAAAGGTTTAATTTTTTTTATAATTTCTTTGGCGAGTGCTCCTGTGGATGCACTCGGCAAAGAGGAATTTTTTTAAAAAAAATTTAAAACACTCTTTGCCGAGTGCCTTATTCCTGGCACTCGGCAAAGACCCCTTTGCCGAGTGCCATACCCCGGCACTCGGCAAAGTTTTTTTGTTTTTTTTATTTTTGGCCTCCAATTTTTTTGTGCAGCCCTTTTAAAGCACCAGGAACTCCTAGTTACAAAAAAAAACAAAAAAAACCTTTGCCGAGTGCCGGGTTATAGCACTCGGCAAAGGGGGTCTTTGCCGAGTGCCTGGAATAAGGCACTCGGCAAAGAGTGTTTTAAATTTTTTTTAAAAAAATTCCTCTTTTCCGAGTGCATCCACAGGAGCACTCGGCAAAGAAATTATAAAAAAATTTAAACCTTTGCCGAGTACCGTGACAGGGACACTCGGCAAAGTATTTATTTTAAAAAAAAATTCTTTGCCGAGCGCCAGATCTGAGACGCTCGGCAGAGAATTTAAAAAAAAAATTAAATCTTTGCCGAGTGCCAGATCTGGGGGCACTCGGCAAAGAATTTTTTTAAAAAAAAAATCTTTGCCGAGTGCCTCCCTGATCCGGCACTCGGCAAAGCCGCGGGCGCGAGGACTAAACCGTTTTTGGTCGGCCGAGCAGTCAGAGCCAGCCAGCCCCACGCCCACGCCTGCCCGACCCCGCCTCCGCGCGCCGCGCACATCGCCACCCGGCCACCGGCCGCCACAGCGCCACACAACCTCATTGCCACTCACCCGCCCGCCATGCCCGCCGCCTTGCCCGCCAGTGCCTAGTTGCCCGTGCCCCGTGCCTCGGTCGGCCACCTTGCCGCCCCACATTGCCTCGCCCGGTCTGGTCCCGTGCACCTCGGCGGTCTTCCCCAACCACGCCGCCCAGCGCATAAGGCGCACAGGTTCTGCCGCGTTGCCGTGCCTGCCCCCGCCCCGTCCAACCGTCGCCAAGTCACGCTTTTTCCTTTTCCCCTTTCGCCCGAGGCAGCCTGCCTGGCCTGCCACGCCGTGGACCGCCCACCCCGACGCCGTCCTTACCCTACCCCGCCCGACCCGACGCCGCCCGCCCCTACCCCGGCGCCCGTCAGGTATGCCTTCTCACTTATTATTGTCGAGGTAGTGGTAGTTGTAGTAGTATTAGTTATACTAGTGGTAGTAGTAGTACAACTAGTGGTAGTATTAGTAGTAGAATTAGTGATAGTAGTAGTAGAAGTAGTGGTAGTAGTAGTAGTAGTACAACTAATGGTAGTAGTTGTAGCAATAGTGGTAGTAGTAGTGGAACCAATGGTAGTAGTAGTAGCAATAGTGAAAGTAGTAGTACAAGTAGTGGTACTACTTGGATATATTCTTCTGTATGGATTGATATCCAAACTACATGGCTTCTGTTGAGCCATATGTGCTTGTCGGCCATCGTGCCATTGTTTTTTGTAGGTTTTCGAAACCTCACCGTGTAGGGGAGGTTCTGCCAAATTTTTTTGTAAATGACAGTATTTTGTTCCATTTTTGTAGAGAAGGGCCCGTCGGAGTTGAGTCGGAGTTCTTGCCACCGTGCCGGTCTGCCTGCACCGCGTCGTCTCGCCACTGCACCGACCCGCCACGGCCTCGCTAGCCTGACTCCGCCGCCACCCTAGGTATAACCCCTCTTTTCGTATCATTGTCGTAGATCGCATAACCCAGTTAGGCATCTCCCGTTCGAAAGAGATATGGTTGGAGGTATGCAGATCTTTGCATATCTATGACTGTATCTATTTCGGATTGTCCACGCTTTTTGGACAGCCCGCGGATACGTAGATGGGTTAGTTCCGATGTTCTGCTCTGGTCCGAGACAGAGTTTCGGCATCACCTCCATGTTGTTCTCCGGATACACACTCTTCTTTGGCAGGACGTGTATCTGGAGAACAGCGGGGAGGTGCTGCCGAAATTCTGTCTCGGATAGGAGCAGAGCATGGAAACTAACCTCTTCTACGCATCTGCGGGTGGGATTAGGACCTATCCTCACCTATTAGACAGTAGCAACACCATGTAGATGCAATTAATGGTTACATTACTCGCTGATACATATATTAGAGGATGGACCCCTTACTCCTGTCATATTCAAATGCCACTGGTTTCATCCTGGTGTAACGAGACGGACCCCTAAGCTTGGGCTAGTCGAGATTCGACAGGATTCCGTCTATCTAGGAAAAGATGTCTATATTGTGGCTCAACAGGCCGTCCAGGTTTATTATACGTCATACGCGTGCAAAGACGCCGAGCATCTTAAGGGTTGGTCTATTGTGCACAAGGTATCGCCACACGGTAAACTACCTGTCCCAAACGATGAAGATTACAACTTCAACCCAAACACATATGATGGAGAGTTCTATCAAGAAGAGGGGCTACAAGGGAGGTTTGACATAGACTTAACCGAAGAGATAGGAATGGAAGTAGACAATGAAAGTGATGATGACGAGGACGCTGGAGACGAGGTGCAAAATCTGACGGACATACAAATGCTTGAGCGATTACATTTGGGCAATGACAATGAAGACAACATTCCTCCTTCGGATAGTGTTGATGAGTTGGACAATGTTGATAGTGATGACGAGACCTATGATCCAGCTAATTTCAATCATGAAGATTATTTCTAATACATGTAATACTATGTTTTTTGTAATTATATTTTGTTCATTTTTGCATATATTTCTAATACATGTATTACTATGTTTTTTGTAATTATGTTTTGTTCATTTTTGCACCTATTTCTAATTACGTCTTGTTTTTCTTTTTTATTGCAGGTGATTGAACAAAGATGACGGGCGACCGTCATAGGTCTGTGAACTCGATTTACCAAAGACCACACCGGCCGCAGGGGGGCGGCAGAGGGATCGAACAGGAGGAGGAGGACCGCTAGCCGTAGGAGGGGCCGTCTCCTCCCACGCCACGTGAGGAGGACCGCCAGCCACAGGAGGAGGTGGCGCCAGTGGACGAGTCAGACGAGGAGCTGGTTCGGCAGACGGAGGAGGAGGAGGGGGGAGGCGGTAGGCACGGATTCCGCTTCCTCCAACTCCTCTTCGAGTGTCTACTTGCGAGGTCCCGTGAGCCTCCCACAGGTTCCGCTTCCTCACCAACGCCCAGTGATTCGCCCTGAAGGACAAAACTAAGTAACTATATATGTTATCACCACTACTTCATATGATATGATGAAAAAAACTAATAATTTTTCTTAATCACTTGTGCAGGAACTGGGTGGTTGTGTCGGGTGGTAGCGCACGGCTAGTCAACGGCATCCTGGGTCTTCTGTGTAGGCAACATTTCCCCAGCCTACTTGTTTGACCACTACGCCGCCGCCTCCGATGCGGAGTACCCCAACAAGGCGGCGCGGGTGAAGGCAGAGTTATGGGTAAGTCTCCCTCGCACAACATTGCTCAATACGTCGCATTCATTGGAGTTTTCTTGAAATAATGAATGGATACATCGCTTTTGTATGCAGACTTATTACAGATGCGAGGAGGGATTTGATGCCAGGGCGGAGCAGGCGATTACCAAAGCCTATAAAAAACTCGTCACCGACATGCATCATGAGGCACGCATCCAGGCCATCGTAACCTACTACGGGTCGAAGCTTGGAGAGAGGAAAACCAAGAAAGATGCAAGAGAGATGCAGCTGACCCGGGAGCAGTACCTTGAGGTAAATGAAGAACATCAATATTGATTCGTTTTGAGATTAAGTTGGTTTAATTTGATCTTCTTATATGTCCAATACTTGATGACGTGTAGATGATTCCCTGGTGGTGCCAAGCGTATCACGAGTGTTGGGCGATGATGGTGGACAGGTGGTTCACGGAGGAGTACCTCAAGATGCACAGGGATGCCCAGGACCGTCGTTTGCTGATGCAAGGTCCAGCACACCATCAAGGCAGCCGCAACCTCGCCGGATATAAACAAGCATGGGTACACAAATTGATTTATCTATTGTCACGCTCAGTTCTGCCTGATTTCTAATCATCGTGCTATCTTTCTCGCAGTCGGCGTCACATAGTGGCCAGGCTTGCTCGGAC